AATTGGGCAATAAATAATTTCTGGAGAGCCTACAGGGTGTGCTTAATTGTTCCTATTACCTTACTAAAGAGAAAAAACTTTTATACTTACGATACAAACATTGGAGTTGTAAGGCGCATTGCAGACTTGGTGCTAAAGAATGTATTTTCTGAATATTCTACTATTGTCCAATATGCAGAGCACATTAAAGAAAAAACAATTTAAATTATAAGGTATTATTATCAAAATAGAATTAAAGACTTAATGTGCATCTCATAAATAATATGGAAATGCTGAAGAGCCTCTAACAAAAGCAATGAATATTTTTCTCCCAGCCCGGGACACAGACGCACCGCGGGCAGGTGGAGGGCTCCTCCGCCCTCCAGATTCCCCTGCGGTACAGCGGTGGAGGAGTCAGGCTGGAGACCCAGGGTGCTGCGCGGGGGGGGGGGGGGGGGGTGCGATTCAGAGCAGCTGACCCGCGGGGCTGCACAGGCCGCAGCCATTCATCTGTAGCGTGGAACTTTCCAGACTCACGAAAACCAGAGTTGGCAGTAATCATTAAGCTGATTTAAGAAAATACTGAGGATCTGTTTTTAAAAGGGTCATGTGAACTAGGGAAAGGAATTCAGGATTAAGATGAAAAGTGACACCAAAAAATAAGGAGAACACTCAGCCTTGAAATATGTCCTGCAGTGATGATAATGTAACTGAAACTCGGTAATACAAATATGTAATAAAGCCAGTGCAATGAGGAAAGTGTGAGACGGAAATAAAACACTCGGTCTAAAACTTCCAAGACATTAAACAATGGTAGCATCAGTATTAGAAGATAAAATAATTTCTCGAGTTAAAATAGAAAACAATCAAACACTTACATTGACAGATATATAGATAAAATGTCACACAAATTCATAAAATCCATTTAAAAACTAATGTCTGCCAAAAATCCTTTTCAAAATAGTCGTCATCAGCAATGGTGGTAAACATTAAAGTAACTGTTAGGGGAAGGGAAGTTTTAACACATATTTATGTGTTTATTTCAGAGTAGTCTCTGAGTAAAAGACATTTGTTGTCTTCTAAATAAATGTGAAAGAATCTAACAGGAATACATTGTTATAAAGAAATTACAGGAAGATACAGCTGTAGAACAGCATCTTCTCACAAAAGATACGGTAGTTTAAATAAAAGATTTTACAAGGAAGAAAGGTCAAAGACAGTTTTAAACCTAAATTGATGCAGGACAGACACCATATTTTTTTAAATTTAATTGATTGATAATGAATAAAAATAATAGATTCATACAGTATGAATCAAAAAGAGATTGGATATAAAAACTTTTAAGCACACTTTTGTACAGAATGTGAGTAATTTTGTTAGATGTGAGCTTTAATGTGTTATATATTCGGCTTTTATTAGTACGTTTGCGTTTCCTTGGGCATTTGGAACATGCCCACTAACATTCCAATTCTTTTTCCTCCTTCCCTCCAATCTCTTTTATTTTTACAGCATGCAATTCATTTGTTTATCTTATAAGGTCTTCAATATTGAACTATCATATATACAAATGAAAAGCTGCAACAACAAATATGAAACGTAAGGTCAAACAAATATGAAACGTAAGAGAACTGCATTAAAGTCCACTTTTAGATACATGTTGGATTACATTTTTCTGCCTTTTACCCTATCTTCTGCCTATTATTTCATGGTTCATATTTTTTTTTTAATTTTTCATTATCAGAGAAGCCACATGAAATTTTAGCAAGTGTGTCTTTTCTTTCACTGAGCATTTGGAGCTCAAGGTGAATTCATTTTCCTACAAATGACTCATTTATTTATTTATCTTATTTAAAGAAAAAAGAAAAAAAGACAAAACAGAATAATAGGTAAAGGTAATACATAGTTTCAAAGAAAAATATTAGCACTAAGAAATTACTAGTTAATGAGTTATTTATTATCCTCATAGAAATAGTTGTTCAAGTTACAAAATCAAAGAATCCAAGATGGACAGATATTCAGACATTCACAGTGCAAACCGTTCTGTTCAATGATCTCATGAAAACATAGTAGTACGGTCATTTATCTTACACACTTAAACATACAAATAGCTGTATCCTTTAGAGCACTTTCCCTCCCTTTCACTTTCACAACTTCCATTATACATTTTGGATCTTATTACTCTTTCAGTTTTTATTTTATTTTTTATGCTAGAGACAGGAGGTGATATTTACAAATGTGGGTCTTAAGTATTTGACTTAGGAGGATCCTCTCCACTGTTGGCAGGAGAGCAGACTGGTGCAGCCACTGTGGAAATCAGTATGGAGATTCCTCAAAAAACTAGGATTGGACGTTCCATTCAATCCAGCTATTCTCCTCCTACATATTTTCCCAGAAAAGTTGAAAAGGTCATGTCACAGTGAAATATGTGAACCCATGTTTATAGCAGCACAATTTGTAGCTAAAACTTGGAAACAACCAAAATGCCCATCAACTGCAGAGTGGGTTAAAAAGATGTGGTGTTTTTATACAATGCAGTATTATTCAGCTGTCAAGTTTATTTATTTATTTATTTATTTTTTTGGCGGAACCAGTGATCGAACTCATGACCTTGTACTTGCCAAGCAGGCACTTACACTGCTGAGCTAAACCTCCATCCCCCACATTTTCTTAATTTGTCATCTTTTCATGGACATATAGGTTGTTTCTAAGATTTAGCCATTATGAATTATTTTTCTATAAATATGGATAAGCATAAGTCAATGTGATACGCATCTGTACCTCTTTTGGGAAGCTAATTAGAAGCAAAATAGCTGTGTAAAATGGAATTATTATTTTTACTTTTTAGGAAAATGCTGATATTCATAGTGGAATTATGATTTTACAGTCCCATCAGCAACTGAAAAGTGACACATTATCTACACATCCTTGAAAATATTTGTTATTGGTTAAATTCTGGTGGCAAACATTTTTCTGGACTGAGAATCTCAGTGTTCTTTTTAATCTGTATTTCTCAAACATCCAGGGACAATGAATATCTTTTTAACATATTTATTGGCTATTTGTATTTCATCTACTGAGAAGTACCTCTTTCAGATGCCCATTTTTAAAACAGTGGGCCCTTTAATGGGACAGGCTAATTTTTCAAATTTTTATATACTAGACACTAGTCTTTTATCTCTGGAGTAGTTGGCAAAATGTTTCCCTATTCGGTAAGTGGACCCTTTATACTTTCCATGGTTTTTAGGTTGTGCAGAAGCTTTTAAATGGATTGATCCCATTTGTTGATTCTTTGTAGTATTCCCTGTGTAATAATCATAGTTGTGCTCAGAAAGTCTTTCCCTATACCTGTGTCTTTGAAAGCTTAATGTATTTGTTCTTCTGTCAGATTGTTTTTGTTCTCTTGTTAAGATCTTTGATTCACTTTTATTTCAGTTCAGTGCATGATGAGGGATAAAGATTATGTTTAATCCTTGACCTGGGGATGTCTATTTTTTCCAGCAGTGTTTGTTAGAGAACCACCTACATTTCTGTTAGCCAAAGAATGGGGCCCCTGTGTCAATGACATCATATCTCAGCATTTCTAGAGTTGTTTCTGTATCTTCTATCCCAGACACTCATGAGTCCAGTTTCTGGTCAATATCATGTTCTTTTTAATCACTGTAGCCTTATAGTATAAAGTCTAGTATTATGATAACCTATGCTTGCCCAGAATTATTTTTGTTAGTCCAGGTTTCTTTTGGCTCCATATGAATTTCCAGCTTGCTTTCTATAATCTGGTAAGGAAAGTTATTGGTGTTTTGATTTTGATTGCACTAAATCTACTTAACAGACATGGAAGTGTCACCATGTCAGCTATATTAGTTCTGTCTGCCCAGGAACAGAGGCTATTATTCCATGTTGTGATATCTCCTTCAATCTTCATTTTCAGAGTGCTGTAATTTTCATTGTAGGGGTGTTTCACTTTCTTAGGCTAATTTCTAAGTATTTTATTTTTTATGCTAATGTGAAGGGTATTTTTTCCTTAATTTCCATGTTGGTGAGTTTGCTGTTGGTGTACAGGAACACTACTATTTTCAAGTGTTGATTTTGGATCCTGTTCTACTATTAAGTTTGAATGTTAGTTCTAGGAGTCTTTTGGTGCAGTATTTGGAGTTCTCTGTATAAAGGATTGGTTCTGCAATTGCTATTGAAAAGTTATCATTTAATTTCCATGTACTTATATAGTGCTGTAAGTGGTTGATCTTTTTGTGGTTGGTTTCTATTCTCATTGCAGAATGGTCTTCTACTATGCATGAAATAATTTTGATTCTTTTGCATTTACTTAAGCATACCTTTTGAACTAGTATGTGATCTATTCTAGAAACAGTCCCTTGTGCTGCTCAGATAAAATGTATTCTGTTGCTGTTGTATGGAATATTCTGTAGATACCTCTATCTACAGAGTAGATGTCTGTTTGCAGCGCTGCTTAAATCTGAATATAACTTTGTTGACTTTTTTTGCAGTTTATCTGTTGTGACAGTGGGTTATTAGTGTTTACCTGAATTTTCACATCAGCTACTGCTTGTTTTATGAAGTTGGATACACCAGTGTTTGCTGTGCATGTTTGTAGTTATTATCTCTTCCTGTTGAATTGTTCCCTTAACAAATATGTGATGAACTCCTTTGTCTTTTCAGATCGGCCTTAGCTTGAAATCAATTTTTTTTGGAATTTAGGATGTAACTGCTTCTCTTTCCCAGGTTCTCCTTGGGTGGAATATGTCTTCCATTCTTTGGTTTTTAATCTATATCTTTTTCAACTAAATTAAATGTATTTCTTATATACTACATACTGCTGTATTTTTTTCTTGATCCATTCAATGTGTCTTTCATTTGGGAAACAGCCATTCACATTGAGAGTTATTACTGAGAGGTATGAGTTCATTACTGTTTTGGGTTTGTATTTCCAGTTGCTAATTTCATTATATCCTCTTCTGTTAACTGTTTATAGTGCTAGATTATTTAATTTAATTGACTTATTGAAATTGTTGAGTTCATTATTTATTGCTTTTTTTATGAACAAAATTAAGACAAAATTTCTTAACAAAGTAATAGGAGAATAACAATAGTTAACACATTGTGCATCGTTGTCTTTAAAGTAGCAACTCAGAGTTCAAGATACAGGCATAAAAATTCTCCAAATGGTATTAGCACAAATCTTTCGTTCCGATGAGCTAAGAGACAGTAGTGATATAATTATCTTGCATTTTTTTCCCTTTCTCTGTCCTCCATTTCCCCTGATTCCCATCCTCATTCCTTTTTCTTTTTGAAACGTTTCCGAGGTTGATTTACTGCTGCCTACCACTTTGCGGTCTTCCAAGACAACGTGTTCACATGGCAATCACTGAAAGTGCTTGTCATCTAAAGTGTTAAGAAAAATAAAGATAGTAATGATAAACCTTCATTAACCATGTAAAAAGAAAAGGCAAAAGTTTTAAAAATCGGAATAAATCAAAACATCACACTAAAATAATTCCAGAGAGTGTTCATACTTATATTCTTTGTGAGCAGAGTAACTGACTCAGAGAAAAAGGACAGGAGAAACCTCTAGATTAGCCCCAAAGCATACACCTTTTTAAAGGATTCTAAAAGTCACAGGAATAGAGATGACCTGGGAGTCTAAGGTGGGGCGCAGGGGGACCTGATCTGCAGTCTCTGTGTAAACTGAACACAACTAATGTTACCCAAATGGAAAGTGGGGAACCCTAAGGCTGCTCCAATAAATTACCACAAATGTAGTGGACTTCAAGGACAAAGCTATCTGGTCTTGAAGTCTGGGGCCAGAAGTCTGCAGTTCCTGTGGCTGGACTGAAATCTTCCTGTGGCTGGACTGAAATTGGAGTCAGCAGAGCCCCTTTGCTTACTAGTCCCCGGGGTCTTGGGCTCCCCTTTTCCTGGCTGCCCAGCTCTGTCTTCAGGTCCCCACCAGTCCCTGCAGTCTCCTTCTGGGATCCCCTGTGAGGAGCCCCAGGACAGCACTGGGCCCCTTTGAGTGCTCTGCCAGGGCCTCCCTGTGGACCTCCTGAACTCCTCGGCCCCTGCAAAGGCCTTATTTTATTCTGGATTTTTCCCCAGACTAAGCATCATGCATTGTTTTCAGAAATTAAAGTTAAGTATACTTGTAGAAAGGAAGGCCTACTTCAGACTATTTACTTATAAAAACATTAATGCAATTAAAATATGATTACACAAAAGCTTTTATTTTTTGCATATAAACAGGTACCTTGAGAGGCATCAGAGTGCACTGAGCTGTGTTTGTTTTATTGTATTTACTTATTTGTGCTTCTGTGTGGTACTGGGAATCAAACTCAGGGCTCTGTACATGCAAGGCAAGAGCTCCACTGCTGGGCTGCACCCCAGCCCTAGATTTATTTCAAACATCTGAAAAAGTCTCCCATTGTAATTTCTTGTGTTAATGCATCTAACTGGCTGGTGTAGCAGTTAAATTTTAAAAAAATACAAATTCTAATGAGGTAATTAACAACCCTGACTATGTAGACATAAAATTCATGGAAATGAACAAAAGAAAATAAAAATCCTTAAAATAAAAACTGATTATTAACAGAGGCTGAATATAAAAAACAGATGAAACAAAGACTTATTCTCTGTAATAAATTTAAGATCTTAATAACAAAAATACTTTGGAATCATATAGAAGTTAAAGTACTTTGACAAATGAGAAAAAAGGTTAAATAATTAGGTAAAGCACATTTGAAACACTGCTGTGATTGATGACAACAAGTCGTCATTTACATGTTAATTTTCTGAATTAAGTTTATCATGATTTTCTATGGATGATGAAGTCTTCCCTTTTTGGAGCTTCTTCTAAGAGCTTTGACAGGTGGAACCTGAGCTATAACCATGCACAGAATCAAAAGATGTAAAATACCCCAGAGACCCTGGACCCCTGCCTGGTCCTTCCTGTAGACAAACAGGGCGTCCCCCACTCCACATGCTGATCTGTTTCCTGATTGTTTTGCTGACCTGTTCTAGATGGTGCGTAATTTTTTAAAAAGCTAATTTGAATCATGCATTCTATTTTTAAACTCAGTTTATTGTTTAGAATTCAGTCACAAAACCCTTTATCCAAACCCACTCAGGAGGATTACTGAAATGGAAAAATTTATAATTTGCTCAATTAGGAAACATTGTCTTCTCTACTGAGTGCTAGGCAAATGCATTTCACTCACTACATAGCTTTTGTTCCACTTTAATCCTTTTGCCATGATCAGTGATCAAATCTGTGCAGAGCACTTAGGCAACATGAGGTCCAGTATGGTTTCAATGATAAACAGTAGAAATTGGCTTCAAACATAACACATACCAGTGTTTTCTGTGATTTTGTTTTAATTTGGTTGGGTTTTTTATTTTGCTCTTAGCTGCACTGAGAACTCAACCCTGAGCATGTGCAATCAACTATGTTCCTAGTGCCTTTTGTTTTGTATTATTTTGAGTCAGGCAGCTGCTAAACCACCAAATTGCTCAGGCTGGGTTTGAACGCATGATCTTCCTGCCTCAGTCTCTTGGAGTGCTGGGGTTAGAGGTTGTACCACCACGCCTCGTTGACAGTTGTTCATTTTAAAATTATAATTGAAATGCTTTCTTAAATGGAAAGTACAGAGCTATGCAAGGTTATGAACTACAGGAAGCATGTCTGACATTTATTCTACCCAGTTCTTTTCACATATGAGTCAGCTGAACTCCAAAGGACATGGGAAGATCACACTGGGAGTGAGGAAACTCTGGAGTCTCACGCACTGAAATGTGACCAGCACTGCAGAGCTGTGGGTCTCCTCCTTCTCATAGTATTTTTCAGCAACCCTGGGAGAGAAAAATTGAACTTTCTTTTTTTTAATTTTTTTTTCTTTTATTTAAAAGGAAAAAGAGAAAAAACAAAACAAAACAAAGTGGTGTAAGCGTACAAGTAATACAGAACTACATTAAAAAAAAATAACAGTAAGAAATCACCAGTTAATAGATTACACATTATCATCTTAGAGATAGTTGCTCAAGTCACAGTATCAAAGCATACAAAGTGGACATTCAGTGAGACTACAAACAGTTGTGTTCAGTGATCCAACCAAAAACATTAATATGGTCATCTGTTTAACACATCTAAACACACTTGCAGTTGTATCCTTTAGAGCACTTTTTTTCCCCTCTCTTTTTTACAAGAAAAGTTACACATTTTGGGTTTTATTACTCCTTAGTTCTAATTCTTTTTTTTTTTTTTTTTTGGAAGAGAATAAAGTCAAATATGGCAAAACAAAGCTGTCAGTCAAAACCAAGGATAGATATAGCACATGATGTAAAAACAAGTACAAGGTTACCAACAATGGTTACCATAATGCCTCTTGCTTCCTTAAAAGAATTGTCTATCTCATTAGATATTATAAAGTTGAACAAAACAATAGAGAACAAGACCAATAAAACCTAAACCTTGTAAACATTACAGGGATTCCAAAGAAGATAATAGTCAAACCAGAATGGGCATCTTAGTGAATCTTATTGCCTTCAAAGTAGTTGCCTATACCCTCAAACTTGATACTATCATACAGAACAGAACAGAGTCTAATCAGTCAAAACATGATAGTGGGAGTATTTCAAGACTTCAAATCAAGTTAATAGGAAATCAAAAAAGTTACTATAATATATCCTGCTAATTTTTTTGATTTTTCCCCTTAATTAAAAAATCATAAAAAAACTAAATAATTTTTTTAATAAATAAGGGAGAGATTGAGATAAAAGAGGACATAACAACATAACAATACAGGTCAAAGCATGACTGTTCCAGTAACCTAGTGCTTCACCACCAAATAACCTGGTTTAATAGTAGTTACCATAGTTCTTTTTCCTTGAAATATTTAAGCTACCTCAAACCCAGGAATCTGTGCATTGTGTTTACCCTGCAAGTTAAATCTGAATATGGTGTAGATTTAGCAAAGTGGAATTGTGGCAAGGCAGGGTCTGTCCCATGGGTGCTCAGATCTTACTTACTTCCTGGCTGCTGAGAAAAGCGCTGCGGCTGTGACTTTCTGGCTCATCCAGCAAAGTTTCCACCTTTTTTCTTCCAAATGCACTCACTTATAATTTACATACTATAAAGCATATGAAATATTTACAGTCCTAGAAATTCTATAGATTATTTTTGCAAATAATCTCCCTTCGACGAAACCCTGATTCTTCTCATTCTAGAGTGAAATACATTGGTGACCTCAGGATGCTTTATCAACTCCAGCTAAAAAGAATGTGAGTTCTGTGAGGCCAAAGATTTGCAGATGTAGTCAGGTGTGGTCAGTCGATGGTGGCATTAAATCTTTCATCAATTTCTTGTTTACATATTGTATAAATTCCTGAGGAAATGATGTTAAATTTCCCTGTAGATGTGTCTACTTCTTTTTCTTTCTAACTCTTGCTATTACACAGAGGAAACTGTAAAACGCAGAAACCGTGCATGTCTCAGCAGCACCTTACGCGGCTGCAGACCTCGGCTAGCGAGGGCTTCAGGCAGGGCGAGGTCCAGCGCTCCCCACCCCACCCACAGAGAGTCCCTGCATGGATGTGACCGCAGCACTCAACCTGGGCAGGAGAACTGGAGCTTGAGCCCAGCCTGTTACCCAGTGAGACTTGGAGCCTAGCTAAAAACTAAAAATTGAGGTTGAGGAAAGCCCTGGGTTCAAACCCCCCACAAATCCCCACACACAGTTAAAAAAAAAAAAAAAAAAAAAAAAAAAAAAAAGGAAAAGAAACCTGTGAGCTCCTGGTTCATGACTGAGTTACCGAAGTGCCATTTACTACTGAGGGAAGAGGCTTGACGAGTCTACCGCAGCCCAAGCGGGTATATAGAGCTCACAGCAGTGCAGAACAGGGTCCCGGGCCTTCAAGGTCTCCCCCCGCTCCAGGGAACAACTCCCATCCTGCAGGCTGCAGTCTGGGGCATGCTCTGTGCCGCGGCCCCACCTTTGCCCGCGCGCTCTGTGTACTCACACAGGTGTGGACAGAGGCACATCTTCCACTGTGACGTGGTTGCCTCGATGTTCAACAGCAGAGCCGGGCAGACTGCTCTGCAGCGAGGGTGCACAGCTCAGAAGCGCAGCAAGCTTACAAGTCTGCATCTCCTGGGTGGTGCTGTAAGAAGAAACTCTGAATGGGGCACTTGTTGGGCACAAGGTCTTGTGACCATTGCAACCGCGGTGGAGTGTGGACAGCTCAGTTGGCCTTGGGATTTATGGGAACTGATGAGCCACACTTCTAATGGTGTCTGGTCAGTCATGGACAGTTTTGGGGTTCAGGTCTTGTCTCACCCTCTGATCTCTGACTCTGTTCCTCTGTTCTGCTTCTCAGATCCACGAACTTAGCAGCTTTGACAAGGCCTTCCTCCATGATGTTCCTGCCTGGAGCCCCTGACCATGGGCTGAGGGCTCTGCAATCCTGAGGCAAGTTTAACCTCTCTTCCCTTAATTCCTGAGTTCTGGGTACTGTACCAAGCAACTGGAAAGCAGACAAACACAGTGACTATAGATGGACAAAAGCTAGGTTTGGCTTTAAGGATATACGTGAAAGACGTATTGAAATTGATTGTTTAACTCTGTTAAGAATTAGGGTTGGGGGCAGAAAATGCACAGCCGTCTGAACAGAAACATTCTGCCCAGTGAGGACTAATTTCCCTTTCTCCTCAGCACTCTCACCTCCTTAATCCCTCTCTTCCTAGTGCTTCAGGTCTGCACTATTTACCCCTCAGCCCTTCCGCACTAATGCAGCTCTTCTTAAATAGCCTCAGTTACCTGAACAAGCTGGATTTGCAAGCACAAAAGACAAATTGGGCAAGGATTTCCTACTAGGTTGAATTTCTATTATTATCATTTGATTTGAATAAGTGGCATGTTTACAATTAGTGTAGCTGGTATTTTATGTTTTCCATGCTTCATTGTTCATGAGTAGTTGCAGGTCTCTATTGTCACACTCTAATAAAAGACATAAAAGTTAATTATTCTGTGGGGAATCTGTAATTATTTATGGACATTCGCTAGCGGCATACTGTGAATGCTCAGAAGGATTCTCACTTTAAATAGAGATGTGGAACCCTCTGGTCCATTTATTTATATGCTGTATCACTCAGTTTTCTCTCCTAACAAGTCGATTTATCTTGCACCATCCTGAATTGGAGCATTGGACAAACCCTGTTTACCCCACTGCCCCTATAGAAAGATGCCACCTTCTATGTCACTGAGGTTCGGACAAAATCTCAAATTTTATGACTGAGGTACATGCCAAGCTGTGAGAGTCTGAGCGAGTAAGACAGTAAAAGCTGGAGCATCAGTGTGAGAAGAAACATTAAAAGCATTAATGAACAAACATCACTATAGAAACTTTTGGGAAGCGGAAATAGGTCTCTATAAAACAAAATGAGAACCCATCACTGGTAGAGAAATCATTCCCAGGGGAACTGAAGTAATACAAGTACAAAAAAAAAAAAAAAAAAAAAAAAAAATCTTCCCTACACGGATTGCTTTGTTTTGGCTTTTTTGTGTAGTAATATTCATGATAAAAGAATGCTGTCTCATGCAGTATTTCTCAAGATCAGATGCTTTGTTTGAATGTGGGTTCATTAAATTTCAACTTATTTACTTTGAATCTACACGTGTAATTACATAAAACACTTAATGTATATTTTCACATTTAAGGCTGTTAAAAAACAAACTTTTATGTTTTGATTTCTAAAAATATTCCCTCATTCATCATGCAGAAAAATGATTTAAAATGTAGGGCAAAGCAAGCAAACAACCAAATCTAATCTTAGAACACTAAGATGAAGTCCTAATTTTCAAAACCTTAAATTGAAGCACAAACAAAATCCAGAGGTCTTAGAAAAATCTAATGTTCATAAAGCTAGCATTTCACAAAGAAAAATTTCATAAGTTAGGTTTTAGGAAGCCTGAATGAAGCACATTTTTTGATCAGTTTTGTTATAACTAAAGTTGGTGTGAACACAGATTTACATTCTCCATTTTTCAGCTCTTAAATCACTGGTGCAGTTGAAAATGTAACTTTTTCTCAAAGGCTACCATAGTTACCTGTTAATGTTTCTTTATTAAATTTAATTTACTAATTACTTAAAGTTGAAGTAGCAATCACTAGACCACTTTATTTTTATTTGATCAGATACTATTTATACACACTAAGGTACTGATACTGAATTCAACTAAATAAAAGATATCATCAATTCTGTTTCATATTACAATATATCAGGCCAATTAATGTAATAAATGCCATTTTTATGCTTCCACTGCAGGTATTTGTCATTGAAATATCTTTATGAGTTGGACATAATGTAATAATTTTATATAAAGAACAAGTTTTTATAAATTTAGTAAGAGTATTACTCATATCATGATTTTATTTCTGCTTAAATTGGTAATTCTATGATCATGATAAACAAAAACTGGTCTTCATGTTCATCTTTTAAGTTGAGAACTCACTAGAACAGTTATTTGATCTAATTGTAAAGTTACTTGTGTCTCTACTTGCAAAGTTTTACTTGTGTTCATTTCCCATATGATCAGTAAGATAATTAAGCTCTTTATTGGATGTCAAAAGAATATTTTGTACAAAATGAACAACCGTCAATTCTTTTTTTTTTTTTTGTCATTTTCGTTTTTATCGGTACCGGGGACCGAACTCACGACTGCCTGCTTGCAAGGCAGGTGCTTATGCCGCTGAGCTAAATCCCCAGCCCCTCAACCGTCAATTCTTTAAAAAACAAGTTCAATATTTAATTCTTTCTGTTGACAAACAATTTAAGGTTTTATAAAGTTCTTAGCTACTAAAATGTTTTAAAATATGTGAAAGCATCTCATGAAACAGCACACAACTTACTGTAGTTTTTCTGATGCAAGAAATCAAGCTGCAGTCCTTCCAGAGGACCCAGAGGATCTGCGTTGAGGTACAGATGTTTCCAGGTGAGCCTCTGCGCTCACAGGCGCCCCCACTTCCCACTTGTGACTGTGGCTTTGTGTGCGATGGGCCACGCGAGGTCCTGGAGACACAGCGGTTGGTCGGTGGGAGGCGGAACCAACGAGTGACACTGGGCAGAGGAAAGCAGCTCAGGAAGGGGATCAGAGTGGAAACCCGAACCCCAGGCGGCTGGGCCAACCCTACAGCCTGTAACAGGTGCTATGAAAAACTTGGAGCCAAATCTAATTTTAGGCTAAAAGCCACACAGAAGTTACTGCTTAAAACTAAATGTTAAGGAAAGCATTTAAGTTATTGGGCAGATCTGACTCTGTACAGCATTCAAACTGTAACACATTGAAACCTATGCAACACAGTGTATGTCAATAATTTTAAAACAATTTTTCAAATTAATTCTAGAAGCATTTCATGTTGAAAACGTGGTAAGTCACGTTGCAGGCAGAGCGTGTGTGGGTTACCACCCAGGTTTCTGCAACTGCACCTGCCTTCTTAGGCAATGGTGCTTATTTTCTATTCCTGGTAAGCGAGCAGAAATCAAAGATGTGACCAATGGATAAATATGAATTTTCTTACACACTTTTTAACATGAGAAAAATATCTTCAAATAGAAAGCAAATATTAAGTCACAATGTGATTGTCATTTAAATATTCCCCTACCCTTCGAAATGTGTTTTCCTGAGGACTGTACACATTTCACTGATTTTTTTCTTAGAATTCAGCTTTGAAAGGTAGGGTTAATAGAGATGACAGGTCTGCCAAGATGTATTCTGTTATTTTATATTTCTTCTAAGAAAAGTCACGTTAATTTTTCATAAAATATTTCAATGTCAAGCCTGTAAAACCCAAATAAATATAGGTTTTTATAATTATACTGGAATTTATATTTTCTGCATTAGAAGCAGGGAACGTCAGGGCTCTTCTTGATAATACTTGCATGTTGGAAATCTTACCCTGGAAAACTCGCTTAACTATGAGAATGTGCATTGAGATCACATAATTTTAAAAAAATGAGAATTTAAAGAGCTGTAAAACTGTTGAATCTCAGTGGAAATAGTTATGTAATGGAGAGGAAACATTTGTACTTACTAAAAAAATTTGAATAAAAACAATGAAAATCATTCTATGGAAAAGAGAGGCGAAGAATGAGGTGTGAGTTAAGAATAAAAAGGAAATATAAAGTTGTTTTACTAATCACATCCTATTTAGCCTTGTTTCTAATTTCTATTTTTGGGAGAAAAGGCATCAAATAATAGCCATTTAATTTAACTTTTTCATTTCTAGCCTAACTTACAAGAGAATCTGTTTATTTATTTGGAGGTCCTGAGGATGAACCCGGGGTCTTCACACTGATCTGTGTTCCCAGCTTCTTGGAGGATGTTTTAGTTTGGGGACTTAAGTTCTCTCAGGTGCTGAATCATAGGCCTCTCTTATGGCTCCTCGAGAGTGAGGTCACATGTATGCCCACGGTGCCCAGCTAAGGCTGTGGACCTGAACCCAGGCTGGCACCATCAGTCCTAAATGCAGACAGACTCAGCTCCTCCTGCACTTTGAGATCAACTCCAGAGAAGGTCGTGACATTCAGCATAACAGAATATCCCTGTATGCAACATGCTCCTGTGTTCTGAGAGAAGACCTCCTAGAACTGTTGTGGTTGCTTTCAGGGGTAGAGCCATCACGAGTGGCACCCTGGGTTCCATGCCCAGCCTTCAAAAACAAAATGAACAAATGAAAAACCACCTAAATCTTGAATGAATATTAAAATGTGATATTGAAGCCTTTGAGCACTCAAATTTCAAAAATATTTAAAGCAACTCTAATAAAACATAGTTGATTATACATGGGGAATGTACGTGCTATTGAAATGTAATAAAGTTACATTCTGACCCATAGTAACAATATTCTAAAACACTTCTTCCACTGTGTTTCTGCCGCATTTCTGATCGCATAGAAATTGTGACAAATAAAACGGCTGCTCACCTCATTGCTCAGCTTCCTCTAGTTGGAAGCACGGATATTCAGTCCCACGTGCTGGGTGCTTTTCAGAAAACAGATGCTCACTTGGCCTTAAACTTGTCCTTTCCTTGAATTAAGAAGTCAATGTCACTATGGTTACAAACAGAAAATGATTTGTTATTTTATTTTATTTTGTTTTTCAATTGTTAGACATAGAGTGGAGGTACATAAGTACAGCAGAGAAGAATTTTCCAAAGTGGAGAAAAGCATGCAATCAAAGATTCAGGAAACCAGGTTGAGCAGCACAAAACAAAGCACAGAGACATACACTACTGGAATTCCTGTCAGATACAGGAAAAAAATATAACTATCAGGAGTAAGGAACACACATCTCATGCTGTAATTGTGTGATTTTTCAGTGTAAATCTTGTGTGCAGCACGGTACCGCCAGTCCTCCTGTCCTGTCTCTCACATGCCTGGCAGTGGTGTGTTGCGCACTGCTTTCGAAGTTCCTGGATGCACCAGGGTCCCCAGGCTGTCTTCGGGGCTGCAGGAGGCAGCTGCTTCACAGCATCCTCCTCTGAGCGCCAAGTGGGTACGTGGTTTGCAGCCTGGGTTGGGGTAGGTGTGGATCTGTTTCTCTTCTCCGTGAGGGAGGAGCCCAGGGGCCTCACTGCAGACTCCTGTGGCTCAGTGTCTCTGTCCTACCCGGGAAGGCAGAAGTTAAGGCCTCAGCTTCAGCAATGCATGTGGCACAAGGCTCCAGGCCACCAGTTACGCCTCCGCAGCCCCTGTGTGCGCGGTCATAAGTCCCACCCGCGTCGTTAGTCCCCCTGTGGGGTCCCTGCTTCCTTCATGAGCGAGAGCACCGCTCCCAGCTTGATATCATTTTATTTTGGGGTTTTGAAAGTAAGATAACGTACTGGGAAGAGAGAAAATTTAAACCTGGTGTTTATCCCGTATTTCCCTTTCTCTAAAGGATTTAGCAGCGCCACTGCCGGTGAACTGACCTTGGAACCAGTTACTTTTATATTCTGCTCAATATAATGATAAATGTCAATAAAATGCACTTTTATACGGAGGCAATTTGTAAATTGAAGTTGATGATTCACATGAAAATAATATTACTTAATAATCACATCCAAAAACCTTATTCTCATGAACTTCTTACATTCTGTATTTGATCACTGCAATGTTCTCAAGACATGCAGCTGAAATTGAATATATAATTAATCTACAACAATATAATCAGTAGTCTCCTCATAAGTATTTAACATGTGCCCATCTGGGGAAAAGATGTACTGTGCTGAATTTCATGGCGTTAATACTGCTGCTATGGTCAGCTACAAGCTATCAGCACAATGTCACTGAATGCGAATTTGAGAGAGATGCAGAAATTTGCTTTTTTTTTTTTTTTTTTTTTTTTTTTTTCAAGCTCCCCAAACCAAACCTAGCAAACCTGTGACTATAATGGTTGAGGACAAATTTATTCTTATTACTTTATTATTCTTATATTTAGTGTTTACATCGATTAAAGGGCTAAGGACTTTGTATTAATCGAAGGAATATGTTATTCATGTTTCCAGTTACTTATCTTTTCTGTAGGGGTGTGTGCCTCTGTGTGTGTGTTTGTGTGTGTGTAAGCTTCAACTCAGCAAGTCACTTTCGCCAAATTTGTTGAATGTCATTCTCTCTGTATATATATCTTATCAGTATCATATTCCTTTTGCTATTTTGTCATCTCCAGAACAAAAAGCCTAGCCCACATGGCTTGCAGGAGGAGCGCTCGGCCTGGAGGAGGAGCGTTTCATATTGGCTTAGGGTCTTCACCCCTCCACATACTGGCTCCAGAAGACTAGCAAGGCGCCAGAGGCTGTGACAGAGGAAGGTGGTCACCCTGAGACAGCCAGGAGCAGAGGAGAGGGCGGCAGCGGAGGGGACAGGGCCCCCTGCCCGGCTGCTGCCGCCACAGAGCCACGCCTCACACAGGACGATGTCTCCTCCACGCACCTGAGCTTCTGGGACATTCTTGGACCTGAACTGGAACAGTGAGGTAGGGCAGCAGGTTCACACGCGTGTGAACACGGGGTGTCAAAGCACACAGTAGGAAGCAGACGCCAGGCACCACAGGGATGTCAGCTGCACCCTATTCTGCAGGCAGTGTGACTCTTCGTGACTGAGACGTGACGGGGTGATGACAGCTCTGAGTTAGGGACAGGTACAGGGTTCTGTGACACTGCTGATACTGACACTGCTGTGCTTTAAACATTCACTTCATAGTGTGCTGGTGTGTACAATAGTTCTCGCGTTTACCTTCAAGGACTACGGCACGCATTTTAAAGCTTGGTGTAGGTATACAGATCACAGTAATTTTAGAAATTTCAGTATTCCATGGTTATACAAGCAAATACTTCCCAAAAAATTGTTTTTGGGGAAAATAACACTATGATTTTGAGGGGTAGAAAATAAGCTGTGCCTGTAACTGATTTAGAGACCTTTCTTTGTAACCCGGGTTGACCACTACAAAAAGTTTTTGTTTTGATCTTTTTACACATAGGTCATGGCTGTGATTCAATGTGCTGTAAATCTTCACATTTAATGAACTGTCCTTCCTCCAGCTTTCTCAGTTCGGGTTTCATGTCTCAGGTCGTATCTAAGGTCTTTTGTGTAAATTTAAACTTTGAGATCCTCTGATAGCACTCAAACCCGTTGTCTAGGGAAACAGAAGTTACTCCTGGAAATCCCATGTTGTAATTGCTAAATGGTCACGTGGCTTCATTTCCCAGTGGCCACGGAGTAGGAATTTTCCACGTTAGGGACATGGGTGGGCCCACAGGCTGTCTCTCCGCTAACGGGGTTCCCTGGTCCCTAGAAACTGCAGTGTAATCACCACAGCAAGACCTCTGCAGGTGTCACAGGCTTGAAGATTTCCAGATGGCAGGATCACCCTTGGCAGATTTTAAATCGCTGAACATTAAGGAAGCAGAAAAAAATTTGACTGCAGACAGAGGAGGCAGGGCAAGGTGAACCAAGAGGGTGGGGCAGCGAGGCCGAGTGAAGAAAGGGCAGCTCCGAAGACCAGGAGGAGGACAAGGGCTCCCCATGTGGGCTGGGTCCTGGCCTGGAGCACTGGGAGCACAGCAGC